TGGGGATTTAGCTCAGCGACACAAGCACTTGCCTTGCAAGCAGGGGATCATGAGTTTGATCCCCGGTACCAATAAAAACGAAAAAGACAAAAAAAAACCCACCCCAAAACAAAACAAAACAACTAAAACAATAGCCATGCAAATATTAGCTATGTGATTGTCTCTCATGTGCCATATTCAAGTACTTTGCATGCATTATCTTGTTTAATTCCAGGAATAACCTGATGAAATACAAGATTCCATTTTGTAGCCCAGGAATACAGTTTATTGAGCCTTCTATTCTCACATCTTATTTTCTGAAATATTCAATAGTATAGAATAAGCAGGACACAAGTCGGATGTCACATTATCATGACGTCTGCCTGGATGCTCGTTTCATAGCATTCTAGTTTCATGCAGAATCAATCTCCTGCTCTTTGTTCAATTGGAAGTTTGAATAGAAATAATAACTGCTGCCAGATATGTTAGCACAAAAACTGTTAGCATTACCACCTTATTTTGCAATGATTGGACTAGTGGGAAAAAATGTGAATAAAATAAATTCAAGTTTTTGTCAAAGCATAATTAATATGGGCAGACCTTCACCCCAGGAAAACAAATTAAGATGAGTTATGTGCATGTATCACCTCCACACAAGGGAATGGAAATGTTATGAATGGCAGACATGTACAAATAAATTATAAAAATAAATTAATAAGGATAGTAGATTGAAGAGAAGAAAGGCAGGCAGTGACAATGTGAATGTCTTAAGTGTAAATAATGGGTAGTAGAATTTTGACCAAGAATCTAGGACAGTGCTTAGGAATTGTGACTCAAATGACAAAAAAGATGACTAAGATTCCTTGCTAACTTCTCAGCCCATGAGTAACTCCCTCTGCCAAGATCTGCACGACATTATTGATTTAGTTTCCAAAAAGGTTTGAAAGCTTCCTTGGCTTTTGGAGGACCTAGGGACACACAATTAAGAGGAAAACTCAATCATACTGTTTAAAATTTGAATTTATGAACATGGGTGAATAGAGACAACAATTCCAAGATAGCTTGTTGGCTGTCTGTCAGGCCACTGCTGAGAGACAAGAAATTCTCAGAGCAAGTGTTCTGATGTGGGCAGTAGCGCTGATGGGGAACTAGGAATGATTCTGTGACTACCTGTGCAGTCTGGCTAACTAGGCATCAGAATACTTTTCATCATCTCACTCTGTTAAAATGTTTGACCCAATTTGGCTATGATTAGATTTGAATTCTAAATATCTGATTTAAATTTTTTTAATATAATTTTTTTTTAAAAAAGACTTCCCTGGAATATTAAGATTGCTTGTGATGTAACAAAATTAAGACACTAGCTAGGGATACAGCTCAGTAGCACAGCACCTCCCTACAAAGTGCAAGGTCTTGGGTTCAATTCTTAGTGCGTGTATGCGTGCGTCGCACCCCCCCCCCCCGCCCCACAGACTCACACAAAAGAGAGACACTGCAAAATAACAAAGAATCTTATGAAATAGTACAAGCAAAAAAGATCTTTTCACCCAAGCCTGTTAGCTCCACATACTGAAGAAAACAGATTTCCTGCATCTTTAGTCATCACAACAATAACCCTGCTTGAGCATTTACTTGAGTCCTTAGAGGTCAGCACACTTTTGAACAATTAAAATACAGCATAGTTCTGAATTTTTTCCGATTTGTAATTTGTTCTGCATGTTGATGAAAGTAGACACCAAGACACTAAGCAAACAGAAAATGTAAAACAGAATATCATTGCTGCAAGATATAATGAAACCCATTGCTGAAAAATCCACACTACAGAATTATAATAGCAGAGTATTTCAGTAACACTGGCAGTTCTACAAAGTGACACAGTGAGCTAATCCACTTTACAGATTTTCTTACATACATAGCACATTGCCTGTGCAAATCCGCTCCCCCAGACTACTTATTTGAACATAACACAATCTAAAAAGCACATGCTATGATGAAGAAAATATGTATATGTCAAGATAATGAAAGTTAACGTTCAAATGCATGTCTATTTCTACCTGCAAAAATAAGTGGTTCTTGATAATCACAAAGGTCAAATTTGGACCAGTGTTGGTGGATTTATACCTGCTTTATTGACATTAGTATTTATCTAAGAAGATTCTCCTGTGTCACACAAGGAATTAATTGGAAGGAGAATCACAAGGGAGAGCATGCTCAGAGGGTTAAATGCTAACTGGCCTGAATATGCTTCATTCAATCAAGCTAACAGAAAAAAAAATCCATATTCTAAACTTTATGAAATTCAAATCACCAGTATGTCATGATTGCCAGGATAATGTTTTAGACAACACTAAAAACCAAATCCAAAATACTCTCAAATCCTCATGAAACTGTGTCAAGCTTTTGATATGAGAGCTATGGTGTTTCTCTATTGTTCTACACTAAGTTCAGTGTAAAATGAAATGTTGTTTAGGCTGCATTAGAGGAAAAGAGTAGCCAGATATTGTTGCAACTGTAATTCTGGTCCAAGGCCAGCCTGAGCTACACAGTGAGCTCAGGACCAGCCTGAATTATGTAGTGACAACATGTTTCACACAATGAAAGAAAGAAAGGAAGAAAGGAAGAAAGAAAGAAAGGAAGAAAGAAAGAAAGAAAGAAGGAAGGAAGGAAGGAAGGAAGGAAGGAAGGAAGGAAGGAAGGAAGGAAGGAAATCCTTCCACTACAATTTTCTTATGGATATAATAAATGAAATACAATTTGCTGCTTTTTGACACAGTTTCTCTCTCTTCAGAAATCTTTCCTGAAATTAAAACCAAAATTGAACTCTGAGTGTCTGTCTGAATCTACACTTGAAGCAGGGGTAATTTATAAATATTTGCCATTCACAATGATACCATGAGACATCACTAATCCTGTTTTACTATTTACACTCACACTGAGAGGTGACTTCTCAATGCTTATCCATCTAATCAAATAAAGTGGAGCAATTACCAAAACTGAGCTCCATCCCAGTTCTGAATAACTACAAAGCCAAAACTTTCTGTCTCAGTGTGAGGAGAGGGCTGTGCTAAGACTGGAGGATGAAGACAGTCTGCATCTTAACATCTTGGGATAAATAAATGTCCATGAGAAAACAAGATATAAGCATATTCTTCTTTCAGGGTGGGAAATTTTCTCATTTTCATAAATGACTATTCACTGAATTGTATCCCACAGCTTCCCAGCTAGAGCACCAGTGAGATCAGATACTGGGAAGCAGGGTGAATAGTAGGAAAATCCATTACTTGTTTCATAAAATTATCTTTGTTAAATCAGAATAATAAAAAAATTATTGATTCATCAAATTATTAATTTTCTTCTTCTGCCTGTTCTGAGGTATCTTTGCAACATTTCAGGCTATGGGACCTGAAGTGGGGGCACACAGGCCAAGTGTGGGCAGCTCTCTGTCCTACCAACCTCGCAGCACCATCAACTTGTAAGCAGTCGGCTTTGCCTCTCATCTCCTATGCTCTGTTTCACTTACTCAATAGTTGTTTCTGGTGTTTTGTCACAGGAATGGAAAGCTGATCAACACAGTCAATACAACCAGCCAGTGTGAAAGCTGAGGCAAGAAGATCACAAGTCGAAGGGTCCTGGCCCAGGCAGCTGAGTGAGATTCTGTCTCACAATAAAAATATTAGAGCTGGCATGTGGCTAAGGTACAGTTGCTTAACATACAAGAACTCTGGGTTTGACATCAAATACTATGAAAGAGAGAAAGCAAGCAAGCAAGCAAGCAAGAAAATATTTATTAGCTATGAAATACAAATTATGCAAGAAGAGAATTACAATCAGCATTAGTGTTACTATGGTGATATTTACATTCATAAAATCACTCATATTATTTTTCAAGTATTTCTAATAATGCATTCATAGTCATTATAATAGTGCAGGTTGATTTAAGTAAAATTTCAGAAAGAACTCTAATATGAAGACTAGGAGAAGCAGGTGATGAGGGGCACAGGTCACCATGGCAGGATTAGCACTTTGTCTTCAGTAGCAAAGGATGAATATAGCATGTGCATATTTGAAAGATTGATAACCAGAAATGTAGTTTTGAAATGAGTTAATTACCAAAGGAAATGGTAAAATGTTAATGTTATGAGATGATGAGTGAAAGGAATCAGAAATGTCTATAAACATGCAATAATATTTGGTGTTTAGAGCTACATACATGTTTATTTATTAATATCTTAGGTGAATTAAAGGTAATTTCCCCTAGTGCACACATTATGCACAAGCAGACAGAAAATAATAGGAGAACATACAAAGTATCTCAATATGATTTCTCTGTGTGTGGTATTGAGTATAGAACCAATGGGCTTTTCACAGAATCAAATCTCCAATTCCATTTATTTACTTTCTCATTCTTTTGTTGTTGAGACAGGCCCTTGATCACTTACCCTTCCTAGATTTGAACTTGTAGTTCTCCAGCCTCACTTCACAGAGTTCTGGGATTCCTGGAGTGCATCACCACGCTTGAATGCAGTGATTATTAAAGAAGTGTGGTGCTCCTTGTTTATGCAATGGACTGCAGGGAGCTGAAAATTTGTGTAAAATATAATACACTATGTGCTTCTCAAGAAATTATGCTGTGAAAACCACAAAAACTCAATATAACATAAAGACTGATGAAAATCAAAGTTACTCCTCAGTCTTCCCATTTTCGATATGAGTGGGCTGAGAACTATTTTTCCATGACTTCTGACTGTCAGGCACCATCTGAAACAGCCTGGCCACTGTGCAAGAGAAAAGGAGGCCAGCAAGTGGTATGTTTTCATAAACAATCTAGTGCTCACTGCAGAAGTAACAAGAGTGGAAGAAAATCTAATTTACAAAAAAAGAAACATTTCTTCCAACTTATCCCAAATGCAAAGCTGCCCCATGCATAAAAGGCATAATAATAATAATAATACATTAAAGCAATAAAGGAAAACTATAACCATGTAAAGTTTTGTAATGAAAATTTTATTTTAGATATTTGGCTTTTAGACATAACTTCGTTTTGTCTAGGGTTGTACTACCTTCCTCATTCATCATCAGTTCTGTCCTCCTAGTTAAAAAACTGTTGGAGACTGAAGCTGAATACACATGCAGGGCTGTGGCATGGCTGAACTGGGAACAAGGAGGTACCTCAGGGGGCAAGATAGGCCACAGCTGAGGACACCTGGCTCCAACCCCAAGTTGCAGGATGGAGATTGTGGCTGCAGGCATTTAACTCGTGCAGAAGGATTCACCTGGAGATTTTCTCCTAGGACAGTTCTCCTCAATTAACATAGTCTGTTGCTTAGAGGGGTCCTTGAATCCTCCCAGAGTCCTGCTTAGGTTCCCTGCATTTTTCACTCTAATCTTTTCCTTGTTTGAATACTACATAAATACGGGCTGCCCAGAGACATTCCCTGTCTCAGCCCATAGTGTCTCAAACTCTGCAGAGGGATTTGATCCTCCTGGAGCCCTAAAAATCACACCACTTTTCTCACTTAAGCCTTCACATACGCTTGTTTGGAAGATTGGGGATCTAGGCCATGTCCCCAATAAAAAAACATGTCAAGAAAAACATTTGAGGTGAAAAGAAAAATGACTTGTTTTAGGAAAATGTTTTCTTCCTTGAAAGCTGATTGACCAAGGCTTCTTTCACCTCTTTATTTCTAAGGCTGTAAATCATAGGGTTTAACATGGGAATCACGGTGGTGTAAAATACAGCCACTGTTTTCCCTTGCTCCACGGATTCCTCTGATGGGGGCCTCAGATACATGACAAAGAGTGTCACATAGAATATGGTGACAGCTGTCATGTGGGAGACACAGGTGGAGAAGGCTTTGCGTCTGCCTGCTGTGGAATGGATCCTCAGGATGGCACGAAAAATATAAAGGTAGGAAAGAAGAATGATGAAGAGAGAGAAGGAAAGGTTGCATCCGGCCACGACAAACATGGACATTTCCTTCTTGGAGGTGTCAGAGCAGGCCAGCTTAATGAGAGGGGGGTCAGCACAGTAGAAGTGGTTGATTTCATTGGGGCCACAGAAGGCCAGGCTGTAGGTCCACATGGTCTCCATGAGGCCCGTGAGCCCCCCATATACGTAAGGCCACAGGACGAGCGCCGTGCACATGTGCTTGGACATCTTGCTGCCATAGAGCAGTGGGCGCCCAATGGCCATGTACCTGTCGAAGGCCATCACGGCCAGGAGATACATCTCCACGTGCGCCAAGGAGATGAAAAAGTAACACTGTGCCAGACAGGCAGGGTAGGAAATGGTTTTCCTGTCTGAAAGGAAAACTTCCAGCATCTTCGGGGTCACATTGGAGGAGAAGCAGAGATCCACGAGGGATAAGTGGCAGAGGAAGAAGTACATGGGTGTGTGGAGCCGGGCAGTAACCAGGATGAGGACGACCATGCCGCCGTTTCCCACCACTGTGACCACATAAACAGCCAGGAACACCAGGAAGCAGAGGAGCTCTAATTCCCGGAGATCAGTCAGACCCAAGAAGACGAACTCTGTCACCATGGAGAAGTTTCTCAGCATCCTAGCCTTCATCAAGAGACGAGAACTTTAGGTCTCTACACATTTTCTTTTAGATGGAGAATGTGGCATATTTTCTCAGTATTTTATTTTCCTTCCTTCTCCTATGACTCACTTTTGTCTCATGAGATACTAGAATGAGTGCTTTGATTTAAACCAGATCTAATGAATCATCAGTAAAAAACATCTCAACTGGTCCTAGATTTCAATGACACTGACCTTCATATTTTTTTCTAAATTTCCCTTTTCCACTTTGCCAATTAAATTCCTTGATTTGCAACTATATTTCCTACCTATTTCACTTCTATTTTCCACTTCTAATTTTTGCATTTTATTTAATTCTCAGCTATTTTTATTCTTGACTTTTGCCCTTCTTTGTGCATCAACAACTGAATACTTACTACTAAACTTAATTCCTTCCAGAAAACTAGTCACAGACCTGTAACACAAGTTTATTTCCTGATAACATTTATTTCTTTCAGACAATCTCAGATAGAATTTCTTGGTTCTTTAAGTGATAAAGTAAAATATACCTTAATTTCTTCATGGTTTAGATATAAAACAGAGAGTGTTCTATTTCAGACCCATTAGCTGATTTGGGGGAGAAAATAGAAAAAATATTGACTTCAAATTGGACAGTTACAAAGACTAAGGGAAGCCTTTCAGCAATTCCTCTAAGATTATAGTATAATTGGGACAATCTAGTTCTTCAGACCATCAGACCTACTTTAGGGTTTAGAAGTGAATTATTTTAACATGAGAGTCAACAGTAATGAAAACTGAGATATAAAAGCAAACATAAATTCTATTAATAGCCTTCTTTTCTGTTTCATGTATTAAAACTTTTGGTCTATAGTTACATTTCTTACCTATCTACTCATTTATTTTGTCTATATTTTAATTTTATTTAATCTCATGTTAATTTTAATTCTGATGTTTTCTTCTACACATTTTGAATAAGCAAATGAACGCTCACAACTGCATGTAAATTATCTTGTTTCCAGATAACAAGAAGGACAGAATCCTATAAAAGAATTTCCTTTCCTGATAGGAAACAGGAAAAACATTTGATAAAAATGTTTCCTGATTAAAAAAAAAAACATTTATTTTTCCAGGTTACATCAGATTAAAAAAATCCTTTAGTTTTTTGCTTAAGGGTACCCACAGATAAATTTAAAATATAAGTTATTTCATATTTGTAAGATATAAACACAATGAGCCCTATTACACAATGAATAGCTGCTACTTTGGGAGAAAATAAAATAAAAGGTAAATACTTGTAAAATTGTACAATTACACATCCTGTGAGAAAGCTTTCAGAAAGCCTAACATTCTTCCAGTCAATTCAGTCTACTTTAAACAATCTGAAATCTTCAGAGTGTGAGCTTTGAGTGTGCAAAACTGATAATTTTAGCACGGTAGGTTACAACTGTGAAATCTGAACTAGGTAAAGAAGATTTGTCACTCAAAACCATTACTTGGCTTCAAATTAGGGATAATTTTTTTCACTGAAAATTTTATTTCATTGAATCTCCAGGTTTATAACACCTCTCTGACTTCTCTTGTTTCTGTTCCCTTCTTGTTTCTTATATCCATCTTCCTGTACTTTATTGAAGCAAGTTCAAAAATTTCTTATGCTGTATTATTCTGAGTCATCCACTTTTTACCAGTTCCTGATCTCAAACTCAGCTCTAACTCCATGTTTGTCTGTGTACACATTAAAGTGTTTTATTAAAGTAAAGGTTTTGAATATAATAGTAATCATCACCTTTAAAAAGACAGTGATCCCCTTTTACTGCTCCTTTCATATCTCTCCCTCCTCTTTGTTTTATTATATATGCAAATCTCCTGACTCTGAATTCTGTCTGTATACAGACAGACATAAGACATGTATCTAAACTTGCATGAGTACATGTGCAGACATAGACACATACTACAGTTGAAATTGTTCTCATGCGCATGATTGAATTTTCAAGAAATTAGAAGAGTACCTCTATCTCTGCCTCTACCCCAACTATGTGCACCATTCTAGGAATGCTATAATAACCCCCAAACCGACTTTCTTTTAAAGTTGTTTACCAGGGTATGTTAGTACTCTCCAAACTTGAACATTTTGTCCTCAAGTGTTTCTCGTAACCTCAGCAGTAACGTTTATTTCACAAATCAGTTCAAAAACTTAAAACTTAATAGATTTGACTTAAAAATTATACCTAAGCTGGAAATTTTATATCCACAATTGTAGAGAAAAACAATATAGAACTTTGTGAGCATTAGGATTTCTTACCTTAAAACGTTGTTCCAGGGATTTTCCTTGAGGATTAAATTAAAAAGTATGTAGAGATCTAATAGTGTATGAAACAAGTATATACATGACAGAAAATTTTAGTTTCTTCTTCGTGTTTGTTTAATCTTTAGAGCAAGTGCAAATTGTCAGGCTTTCAGCATTGGTCCTACACACATAACCAACATCACCATTTCTGCGCAATCATTCATTTATTTATAATTACACAATCATTCCTACCAGGTAAGTGTTTGGGCTCTAATTCCAAAAGACATCTTAGTTAGTTCCCAATGTACATAAAAAATATAGATAGCCCTGCCAAAAAGATAAAGTGAAACAACCTAAAAAGAAGGGAGAAATTATGTGCCTTCAAAATTAAGGGAGAACAAATTTGCTTATATTTATACGGTTGACTGCTTTTCCCAATTGCATTTTTGAAAATGAAGATGACGTTTTCAGTTCCACAAGTTAAGTGTTCCCTGAAGGCAGCTCAGACACTCATTAGCATGGGAGTTAGAAATGATTTCAGTGTCACTTCTGGGTCTTCTGTGTTTCCCTGTGTAACATCCTTCCTTCCTGTTCTCTCTGTATCACTAGGGTTTCTGCTCTTTACTTAGCAGAAAGGCTGCGTTCTTAGAAAAAAAATAGCAAACACTTCAAAATACTTCACTGGCTTTCCCAGTATGCAGGGATGACAATTCGTATCTCCAGGAAGCACTGTAGGGATGATGCATTCATTTCAAAGCAAGAGTTTTGAGCTGCTTTTAGCCTTTGCTATTCTTACCTCACAATGTTTTGTTTTGAGAAAAGTCCAAGAATGAATGAAGGTAATCAGAGAATAAAGAATGCTATGAATTGACACAATTTCTTCCACTTTTTCTTTTCTTCATTGTGTAATTATGTATTCAAGTGTGGCTAGAGAAGATAAGACTGTCCACAGGGCCCCTTTAGAAGCTCTTCGAATTGAGCTGAAATTCCATGTGTGGAGCTCATTTTGTTCTTTTAGCACATTGAGCAGTGACATCAGGGGCAACCTCCCAAAGTCACTATGTTTCTTATTTTTCCAAAATATTTAAAAGTATTGATACTAATTACTTAACGCTTGGTGTCTCGTAAGTGGTTGATAACAGGAATCCAGTACACACAGTATGCATCTGTTTAAATAATTCATTCAGTGTGTGTGTGTGGGGAGCTAACAGTGGTCTTTCCACTATGTCACATATGCTCAACAACATCTTTAAGCCTTGTTAAGACCAGAAATCACAGAACTTACTCAGAAAATTCATTCTCCATATATGGCTTGTCTAGAACAACTCTGTTATCATCTCTGTTTTTCCAAGGGTTCTTCAAGGAAATAAAGCCCACAGAAGCGTATGTATACATAGTGTATTATAGATAATGTATTGCATACATGTATAATACATATTACATATATATTGAACATAAAGTATATAGTATTATCATAGGAAATGACATGCAACAGTGAAGCCCAGAGTGCCATGGGTTATGCTGTTTGGAAACGGGAAAACATGAAAGGCCCACGGTATAGCTCAGTCTGAATCTGAAGGCATAAAAAACGAGGGCAGCCTAGTCCGGATGTGAGTGGGGAGCTGTGACAACCTGGAGCACCAACACACAGTGATAGAGGATGGATACTTTCCCGCCAGCAGGGGGAGCCGCGCTGCTTTCCTTCCGCTGCTCTCTGCTCTACAGGCTTGCTGTGTGCAAGTGCCTGCCTAGGCCTCTGAATGGGAAGTCTCGGTGGTCACTTTCCCTGCTCACACGTTCATCTCTTCCAGAGAATCATTCATAGGCACACGTAAGATAGATGTTTACCTGAGCTCTCTCAAAGCAAATTTCAATGACTTTTTTTTTTAAAGCTTTTTGTAAAGAAATAATATAAGTTTTAGATAAAATTCTGGGTTCCCTAAAATAATTTATTCAAGAAAAAATAATGCACACCTACTTAATCTATGTCTGTCCCAGTACAAGGTGAATTATAGGTGGTCTCAGCAGGCTGATACCTTTATTCCAGCTGCCTGTTAATTCAGCACAGCACTTGATGCAATTTCTTATTTATTTTAAAATGATGCACTGGAATGTATATTTATGAGTTTAATATCAGCCATAAATGTCAAGAGCATTTCGTTCACTCATATTTACTTCTGAAAAGCACTGATGCCTTATGACTGATAATGTGTTTCCCCAGTGCCACTGGTTTGTCCAAGGTAATTTTTTTACCTTTCCTATTGTGGAGCACTTGTTCTCTTTGTCTGTGAATGTTTGTTAGGTATTTCACCCTGCAATGATTACTGAACTTTTATTTTGTAGTGCACGAGGCTGTAAAACTCAGACATGGATGACGTAATTAAAAGACCAGAAGAATAAAGGGGCTGGTTTTGCAAAGCTAAATATGTATGAAAGGTTAAAAAAAAGTATCAAAGTATGCATTTTACCAGGATCTAATAAGCAATTAAATGTGTAAATTTCAAAAATAGCTGTTTATCTGCTTTAACATAATTTATGAGCAAGCTAATTTCCAAGTGAAAATATTTAAATAATAATATAAAATTGAAAAATTTACATGGAGTAATGTAGAATGAGTGTATCAGAAAATGTGACTGTGTAGAAAGTATTTAGCAGAAAAGTCAACTCCACGGTAGAAAGAAAGTTTTGAGGAAAAGCATGCCTATTGTGAAGAGGGGCTAATTATTCTCTGGGGCTTTTCCTTTCTGTCACATCTACATCTGTGTCCTCAGAGTGGTGACAGGAGCTGCTTGATTTTCTCCTCTCTAGTCTAAAATGACATTGTCGCAGAAGCTGTGGGTGAGCCAGGGAGAGTGCATGTTGAACGGACAAGTTTACATCCTGCACAATCATAAGGCTGGTTTCAGTTTACTCTGAGTAAACTGATTTTCTTTTCTGGCATTAGCATTTTTGCATTCTTGCATTACAGTACACAACAGACTGGAAGGCTTCTCTTTCCAGTTTCACAATCTTTACAAAACTATGTTAGTTTAATAAAACAGAGATGAGAAAGGCATGTAGTACTTTTCAACCTAAAAATGTGGAATATCACTGATTGTCCCTGCTACAGTCACAGTTATTTAAGGACACTCTTTTTTTTTTTTTTTGTAAGAGCTTAATCCAGAAATGATTCACTGAAAATAGTGACATTCTGGGAGTCTGTTGCGACGGAAGTAGAAAAGCACCTCATAGAAAGTGATTTTCATAAGTGGATGTCAAGCACTCAGAGGGAAGTGTAGTAATAGATTTTTTTATTCTGTAGGTGACAGCAAGTTTTCTCAGCATGCTCAAGGACATTCACCCAAAAATACAGATTAAAGCTCTGCATATTAAATCTATGGCATTCTTTGTTCTTAAAAATCAGATAATAGCAAGCATTTAAAAGTTTCTTCATACATGTGTACATATATAACCACATAAATATTTTTCTATATACAAAGCATTTTTCTGAAAACTTGAAAAAATGATAATGAAGTCACTACCAAATAAGAATGTATGATAAGAGGTGTGGAAAGAAATATTTTACTGTTACATTGTAAGCTTCTCTTAGAGATTTCAGTATAAAGATGTGTAATGATTATTTACCAAATTGACATACATAGCTTTTCACCCTTCATACAAACATGGCATTTAGGTGTCATATGCAATTGTAAAATATTTGTACCCATGCATTTTATGTTTACTATTATAGATTTCCATCATGAATATAAATTAATTTTATAATAAATTGTATTAAGTTGCATAATGTTTTCATAAATAAATTTTTTATCGGTACTGGGGACATAAATAAATCTTTAATTCATAAAGAAAAGTAATCATTGATTTTTGACTTTATTTGGAAAGAACACTCCTTCTGACAAGTTTTTGAAAAGCTTGGTACACATCCTTGTTCCATAGACTATAAATGATGGGGTTCACTATGGGGTTACAAAGGTGTAGAGCACAGTAATGATTTTGGGCTGCCCCACTGACTTGTCCATGGGAGGCTAACACACATGCAGAACAGGGTCCCATAAAACACAGCGACTGTCAGCAGGTGAGACCCACAGGTGGAGAAGGCTTTGTGCCTGTCCTCCGCAGAATGTACCCTACAGACAGCAGTGAGAATGAAGAGCTAGAAGATAAGGATGATGAGGAGGGAGTTGGAAAGGTTGAATCCCACTACAACAAACATGGAGGTTTCCTAAATGAAAGTGTCCGAGCAGGTGAGGCAGATGAGGGGAGGGTCAGCACAACAGAAGTGATAGACAATATTGGAGCCACAGCAGGCTAAGTGATATATCCACATGGTTTCCATCAGGCCACTGAGGAACCCATAGACATAGGGGACAGCAATGAGGTGAACACTCCTCTGGACATCTTGCTGCAAAGGGCTACAGATGGCGACGTATCTGTCATGGGCCATCACTGCCAGCATACAGTATTCAGAGATCACCATGGCAATGGAAAAATAGCACCGCATTAAGCAAGCAGCATAGGAAATGGCTTTCTTCTCTGATAAGAAGTTCACCAGCATCTTGGGAGTGACGTTGGTAGAATAGACCAGATCCAAGCAGGACAAACTGGCAAGAAAGAAGTAAATAGGCTTGTGAGGCAGGAATCTAGGCAGATCAGGACCATCATCCCAGGGTTCCTCCCAACAGTAATCGAGTAGATCACCAGGAACAGCTCTGCGTAACCAGGTCTCGGTGTATGCAGTAATGAATTATACAATGACATTTATTTGTTAAAACAATCAATAGAAATGAAGTTCTATATAACATATCACTACTTCAAAAAGGTCGCATTGTTTTTCTGTGTATTAAAGTGATGAAATGTAAACTAGATATAAGTTTAAGAGAATTGGCCACTTCAATGATTTTGATTCGTAGTGAATATATCTCCACATATGCTTATTTTTATTATATGAAAATGCAAAAGCATAAATTGATTGTTATTCATGATTGTTTAGTTTCTGTTGTTGGGAAGATAAAGAGGTGCCATTTACCTTACATTTGTATCCAGTCACTTAGGTTTGAGCTTAGTAATGCAAATGTGAGAGGCAGCCAGGTAGCACAGAACTGCTGTTGGTTACTAACCAGTCTTGGGCATTAGGTTGCCTGTGTATAAGGTGCCTGC